GCGCCGACTCCCCGTGTGTTTCGTGCGTCGGCGGGAAGCTGGCGCGGCACACCTTCCCCGACCACGGCTCCGAAGCCAACGACGTCCTGGCCGTCGTGCACATCGATTTGTGCGGGCCATTTCGCAAGGCTGCCAAGGATGGCAGCCTATACTTCTTGCTGCTGAAGGACCGCAAGACCCGCTATGTGTGGGTGAGGCCGGTCGCCAAGAAGTCTGACGTGCTGCTGGAGTTCCAGAAGTGGCTGGTGCTGGTGGAGCGGCAGGCGAAGCATTCGGTGCTGCAACTGCGTTCTGATCGCGGAGGGGAGTTCCTCGGAAAGGACTTCACTGCCTTCGTGGACAGCAAGGGAATCGTTCACGACTTAACCTGCCCTTACACCCCGCAGCAGAATGGCATGGCGGAGCGGGAGATGAGGACGGTGGTGGAGTCGGTGCGGACGATGCTGCTGCACATGGGCGTGCAGCACCACTGGTGGCATCTCGCTCTGCGGCAGGCCGTCTGGGTTCGCAACTGCCTGGAGCGGTCGACGCTGCCCGCGGGGACGACGCCGTACTAGCTTCTCACCGGGCAGAAGCCCGACCTGTCACTGGCGCGGGTGTGGGGCTGCATGGCGCAATTTCTCGTCCCTGAGCAGCAGCGCGGTGGGAAGTTGAAGCCGAAGGCCCGGTGGGGCCTTCACCTCGGCGTGTCGGAGGAGAGCAAAGGCTGGGAGCTCCTTGACATCGCTGACAACCGGGTGGTCACCACGTCGGACGTGGTGTTCTACGAAATTCTGTCGCTGGAGGTGTGGAAGTTGGAATTCGGGTCCGCGTCGGGGCGGACGCGGGCCAACCCGCCGACCGACACCTCCACGGCGACGCTTCCTCTGCTCACCGAGGTCGGTGAGCAGGCTGATGAGAATGTCGCGGTCACCCCTACCTCGCCATCTCCTGCCCCTCCTTCCCATTCCCTTCCCGTCGAACTGCGTGGCCTGCCTCCGGTGTCGGCCTCCGGCGATGAGGGGAGTCGTGGGGCGTCGCCTGTGGCGCCGGCCACGCGCATCGCCGGTGGCCGACGTGACGCTCAGCCAGTCGCGGAGAAGAGGACCGCGAAGGCCACCGCAAAGGAGCCCGCGGAGGAAACCGCGGAGGAGACCGTGAAGGAGACCGAGGAGGAAACCGCGGAGAAAACCGCGGAGGAGATCGCGAAGAAAACCACGAAGGAGCCCGCGGAAGAAACCGCGGAGGAAACCGCGAAGCCAACCGCGGAGCAATTGGCAGGGAAGCTTTCGAACGGGAAGCGCGTTTCAGAGAAGCCGTCGCCAGGGGAGCCGTCGAACGCGGAGCTCGCTTCAGAGGAGCGGACGACAGGGGAGCAGTTCGATGAAGGCACATCGAGCGACGTGGTGGAGGTGCAGCCCGGACCTCGGAAGTCGGGCCGAATTCGGAGGCCACCCGATTTTTTCGTCCCCACTGCCTTCACCACGGTGTACGACGTGGACGACGACGACCTGGCGTACGATGACGCCGAGGACGATGAGGCATTTTCGGAGCTCGACCCCGACATGCACGCCGATCCCGAGCACCGTTGGGACATTTCGACCATAACGGTGAAGGAGGCGTTGGCGAGCTGGAAGGGCCCGGCGGTGAAGGCCGCCATGGAGGAAGAGATTCGTAGCCTCATCAATATGGGCACTTGGGAGCTGGTCGAACGCCCGCCGGGGGTGAACATAATGAAGAACCGGTGGGTGCTGACAACGAAGTACCGCATCGACGACACTGTCGAGCGCGAAAAGGCGAGACTGGTCGTGAAAGGCTTCACGCAGGTGTATGGCGCTGACTACGACGAGACGTACGCGCCGGTGAGCAGCTACGTCACGCTGAGGATTTTCCTCAGCATCGTCGCCGTCCTCGACCTCAACCTGATGCAGCTGGACATGAAGAACGCTTTTTTGCAGAGCAAGCTCGATCGCGTGCTGTACATGTACCAGCCGGACTACTTCAACGACGGGACCGGCCGGGTGTGCAAGTTGCTGAAGAGCCTCTACGGGCTGAAGCAGTCGCCGCTGCTGTGGTACACGGCTCTCAACGACGTGTTGGTTGGCGCCGGGTGGAAGAAGAGCCAAGTCAATGAGGCTCTGTACTTCAAGGCCGGCGACGACAAGTTGACCTGCTGGGTGCTGGTAGACGTCGACGACCTTCTCGCCGCGAGCAGCAGCACCGCGATGCTGAAGGAGCTGCTGGAGGCCGCTTTCGAGCTGCGCGAAATTTCGCCGGTGCAGAAGTATCTCGGCCTGGAGATCGTGCGCGACAGGCCGGCGCGAAAATTGTGGCTGCACCAGCAGGGCTACGCCGACAAGCTGCGCAGGCGCTTCATCGACGAGGAGCAGACCGGGTGCACTCCGAAGACGCCGGTCTCCGTCGCCGCCTACGCGGAGCAGACATTCGGCGACGAGGAGGCGCAGGAGCGCGAGGAGGAGGAGTACCGGCAGAAGGTCGGCTCGCTGCAGTTGGACGACGAGGCCGGACATCGCATTCGCGTGCAGCAAGCTGGGGAGCGGCCTCACGGTGAGGAGCGACCAGCACTGGCGCGAAGTCGACCGCTGTCTCGCCTACCTCGCCAACACACGAGACACCGCTTTGGAGTTCGGCGGTGGTCCGAAGTCACTGGAGTTAGTCGGCTTCGTGGACGCCGACGACGCGGGCGACAAGAAGAACCGGATGAGCACGGGCGGCTACGTGTTCGTCTACGGAGGGGCCGCGGTCTCCTGGTCGAGCCAGCGCATCAAGTGCGCGACGCTGTCATCGACCGAGTCGGAGTACGTGGCGGCCGTCGAAGCCGGCAAGGAGGGACGTCGCCTTCGTTTCCTCCTCGCGGAGTTCCAGCGGCTGGACGCCGGAAAGCCGACTGTCCTCAGGGTGGACAACAAGTCGGCCATCACGGTCGGCGAGGGCATGGGGTTGACGGGCAACCTCAAGCACATGGAACGGCGACAGGCCTGGCTGCAGCACATGGTGAAGCGCGGGAAGTTAAGTACATCCCGACCGCTGATCAGCCGGCCGACTTCCTGACGAAGGCGCTGCACTACCCGGCCTTCAACCGGTGCTCCGTTGCAATCGGCCAAGTGCGCCTGGCCGATGTGGGCGACGGTGACAACAACGTGCAGCAGTAGGTGCCATGCCCTTTTGCATGGCTGGTGCGGTGACCGGCGTGCTGTGCGTTGTGTGCACGCCGACGGGCTATTCTCCGAGCAGTACTGCCGTGTGGGCCGGAGGGGGGGGGCCCAAGCGTGAACGCGGCAGGGGAGTGTCAACGGGAGTTGTGTTTGGCCCCGTCCTCGCTTGGGCGGAGCCGACCGTGGGAGCCACGAAATCGCAGTGGCCCGTGGGAGCCACGAAATCGCAGTGGCCCGTGGGAGCCACGAAATCGCAGTGGCCCGTGGGAGCCACGAAATCGCAGTGGTCCGTGGGAGCCACGAAATCGCAGTGGTCCGTGGGAGCCACGAAATCGCAGTGGTCCGTGGGAGACACGAAATCGCAGTGGAGGACCGCGGTGGCCGAGAAACCGCGGGAGGACCGCGAAATACCCGGTCAACCAGGATACCCGGGTGACGTGCGCGAAAGTCGCCGGGGATGTTGTCTGCGAGGACGACCTCGGGGGTGGTATCCCGAGGTCGACGTGGCTGGTGGGCGCCGTCACGGGTGAAGTGTCTGCGCTGGGCAAGTGACGGGGAGTTGGGCGCCAACCAGCTGCACGCACCTGCGAAGCTGGTGCACCGTTGTCCCGCGGATGCGACGCTGTGCAGCCGACATACTGCAGCGCTGGCGCACCGCGGACTTGCAACGTTGGCAAGCCGCGACTCTGCTCTGCTGGAGCGCGGTCGACCAAGTCGTGCTGGCACGCGGTCGACCGTGCTGCGCTGGCAGTGGACCAGCAGCCTTGCTAGGTCTGATGTAGTCATTGTTGCCAATGTTGCTAAAATCATTCTGAACTTTTGTTGTCACGTTTTCCTAGTGAAACTCTTGCCAATTTTCCCTGTGAACTAGCAAGCAGTGTTAGCACTTGGAAACGACTAAGGAACGAACGAACGCAGAGATCACACGAGCATCCGTGCCTAGCCCGTAGTCTAGCTCCCGTTGCAATAGTTATCTCCGCATCATATTGTGCAAAATCTGGAGTAGAAGCCTCGATGTGAACCACCACTGGCTCTCGTTGCACTGCCACCATGAGCCCCACAAACCCCTTGAACCGTGTGCGCTCAAAGCCGTGCACAGGGTACTCCTTTTTCTGAAGATGGGTAAACGGAAATTTCAAGACATGTAGGATGGAAGAGATATATAACGCATGAATAGGCGACGATGAAAAACCACAGCTTGCTTGCTGATATATGCCTGGATTGATTTGGACTGAAGTAGTCCAGCTCTGTTTCAACTCGCAACCATAACCAAAGAACCGAATCCTGAAGTCCGAGATGAGTACTCATATCAACAGTTGTACACTTGCAAAGCTCTCAACATCAGCAACACTTCTTGAATTTCTCGGTTCTCTGATATAGGGCTTTCCCGTATCCGACTTCCATTCCACCTAAATAATCACAGGAGCACCAGCCTCTGCGACTCCACCACGCGGCAGTGTGAGAAGCCTTTCAAGCGCCTCGGTGGGGGAGCCCCCTGTGCTGCACTTGTCAGCTTCGGAGGTGAGCCCCATGGCTGCAAAGAGTGACTCCACTGAAAGCTGTGGCGCCTCTCCATTTTTTGCGATGCCGTATGCCGCTTCCACGCTCGCCACCACCGCAAATGCCCAACAAGCATCTGGGTATGATGAGAAGAGCTCTGAGTGATTAATGTAAACTCGTCGAATGCTGGATGATGGTGGAAACAAACATTGAGCCGAACAAGCATGGTTGAAACGTGAACGTGATCAGCAGCAGAGCAGTAGGAGGAGAGCATTCAGATTGTAGCAGTGGGTTGACACCAGCAATGCTTTTGTCTCTAGACAACTCTTTTCCGGGCTCCCCGTTTCAAGTTAACTCACTGCAGTCGCTCTGGTCCTTGACAGGCCAGCCGAGGAAGGGCACAGAGTCCCAGGAGTGGAAGTTGCTGACAACCCACGAGTCCTGCTTGTCGGGCGCCACTCGGTAGTCCGCACTCACATAGCGCGGGAAGGGGCTGGCCCACTCTGGCAGGTACGTGTCCGTTCTTAGTCGTAGGCCGTACGCTGGAATGTTTTCAGAATTTGCGTTACGAAGAAATGAATGGGGTGTGAAAGAAGTGAGTTGTATTAAAAAAGAACTGGAGAGGGATGGTCACAGCAGGGACCAACAATGGAAACAATTATGCCTAGAGCTCCTTCAATTTGCTGGACTGCAGATCAGAGCTGACCACATCTGCACCTCAATTGGCTGGTGGTTGATTGTCATATCACATCTACTTATGAGGCATAATGGGCACTGAATGATCATTCACGACTGATTTTTATTAACAATCCCTTCCCGAAATGGGTATACCGCTAGCATGGAATAAGGAGAAGACGTTACTTGCTAACCTATTGCATAAGGAGAACCTCCACCGGCGCCAAAAGGAGAAGAAGAATAAAGACAGAGGAAGATGGAACACGAAGGATGCAGGAGTAAAAACAAGCAAAGGAGAGGCGATGAAATAACTAGTCAGTCAATCCCAATGGTGGCATCCTTTGACCTCCTAACAGAGGTACCGTATACTCCCGGATAGAGCCGACCCCATCCCCCCCCCCCCCCCATTTTGTTTTCGCCCCGGTGCTTAACATAAGAAAAAGGGGCGATAACATTTTTTCGATTACAAGCCCCTACCCAACTCCTGGAGATCGTCGCTATTGGAATACATGGCGGAAGTGTGATTTTTTCCCCATGATGGGGCAAAACGTATTTTGTAAAATGGTCCGGGGCTATAACAAAACAAATCAAGTAACCCACCCCCCTTAAAAAAAAGTAGGAAATTAGAAGCCTCTAGGGGCATTTATCCGAGGGATTCCGGCAGGTGTATGAGAGTCTCCTAACACGAGCATGGGAAACTGTTTTCTTACCAGAGCCCAGGATGTACCCTTACCTGGAATACGTGTGACTGGTCGAGGAGAAGCAGGAAGACCTGTGTCCACTGCAGATTCAAGAATGACGTGACGCTGAAACGGCTTCACAGTGGTGGACGCCACGAAGCCAAAGAAGAAGGCGGGCTGCTCGGCTGCACCCTGCAGCACCTCACACAGCGCCAGCCTCCTCTCCAGCACCGCCTGCTGCGGCTTCTCCTGCGAGTCAGCCAGGAAGACCTGGATGGTGTCGGGGTCCCCCGGCTCATAGTCCACCCACGCCGTGTACGCCTTCCTGCTGCTCAAGGGGAACGGTGACCGCACAGCGGCAATCGACCTGTCTTTGCCTCGAACATTCAGCCCCACATGCTGGCTGCTCATATCGCCATGCTGCTTGTCCTGCCGAGTGTCGAACTCCACCGCCGCACTGTGCTTGTCCATTCCACCATACCCCACACCGGTGCCGCTCCCCACCCGGTTCGTCGCCGAGACGACAAAGGCAAAGCCGTTGAAGCCAACGCGGCCAGATTGAGGCGAGAGGGAGAAGGTGAAGTTGGCGTGGAAGGCGAGCTCCAGCCCACATCCCAGCCGCGCCTGCCCTGCTTTGTATGCAAACAGCATCACTGGCGCTGCCGTGAAGCTCCCCCGAGTCTCTCGCTGCGTCCCCTTGGCGAGCACAGTTTCTGGCGGGAGAATCGACTGGCTGTGTGAATAATTAATGTTCTGGTCTGCAGGAATGCCGTGAACAAGGGTGGGTTATGGAGGTATGAGTGGGATGAGGTGAGGCAAAGCTTACAAAACAAACAAGGTCGATCAAACAAGTTTCGAGCGAACCAGCTTCTCGAGTTCATACGAGATGGAAGTGCCTTATTGAAATGGTAAGTCCCCTACCTTGAGCAACACAGCTGATCTCTCCAAACCGCGCATATCCCGCATCACACAGACATGTGGGTGCCAAGCTAAGCCCCTATGGATAGCACACCCCATGCCCTCCACACGCAGCTGCACCAGCAGCAGCAGAGGAGACGCCACAGAATGCATTGCATGCTGCCTCCTGCCGCTGCAGCACCAAGTCACAGCTAGGCGGCAGCTTGAAGCAGTTGGCATCGAAAGAGAAAGGCTCGCATGCCCCTTCAGGAAGAGGGCCAGAGAGGAAGTTGGTGGAGAGATCCAGGGTGCCCTCAGCAAGAGGCTTCAGAGCGGGCCCTGTGAGGTAGTTGTGAGAGAGGTCGCTACAGGGGGTTGGGGAGGCATGTTTTGGGGGAAGGACAGATAAGGAGCACCTTAGCGCAACTGGATTTGGATGTGGGGGTCGGGAGCGACTGTGTGATGGGAATGGGTGTCCAGATGTGAGAGCACAAGCGGATGGATGGACACGGGCAGGCAAACAGGGAGAATGAGAAGTAGAAGAAGGAGAAGTAGAGGAAGCAAGGGAGATGACAAGAGGAAGAGGAAGGTAAGGCACATGAGGGGACGGTGGAGTTAGATGACGGATGTAGGAGGAGTCGAGGAAAAAGGCGGAAGCAATTGAAGTTCGTGGAGTTGGAGAAGTTGTAACGGACGCTGGAATTGTGCGTGCCTGGCGTGTCTCAGAAAGCCAGACACCTTCATTCAAATTCACGCATATTGTTATTCTACAATTTGTTTTCTGTTTTTATTTGACAATTACGCATTTGTAATTGTTTTCTGTTTTTATTGTTTTCTGGGTATTTATTATTAATTAAAACACGTAAGGACGCATTGTTTTCTGTTTTTATTCTACAAGCCTGGAATTCTACAATTTGTTTTCTGTTTTTATTTTCTGGGTATTTATTATTAATTAAAACACGTAATTAGTGACTATGCATGCTGTTGCAGCAAGGTAAGAACGTAAAGGTGCTGCAAGAGCCTACTCACAACATTTTTCTGACTGTGCATTGAGTTTGCGAGTCTGACTTGTAGAGTGCGTACGAGATGGAGAACAAAAAGAATGCGAAAAAGAGAGCCGTTGTGTGTGTGGGTCATACAGGTCTTGGAGGTCTGTGAGCTGTGTGAGAGTGCTCGGTATGCTTCCATACAGCATGTTGAAGGCGAGTGGCCTGGATGGCCATGGTGGGGTAACTGAGGGATGTGAGATGATCTAGAGGTAGAATGAAAGCGAGTATGGATGGAATTTGAGATTGGGTAGGTGGTGTTTTAGATTGAAGGATTGTTGTAAAGCAGCTTTACAAGCACCCTAAACCCTAAACCCTAAACCCTAAACCCTAAATTCACTCTCGAGCGGGGTTTCATAAGTCGTCCAGCTGCTTGTAAAGCTGGGAGACAATTCTGCAAAGGTGCGCGCGGTTCCATAGTCATCAGCTGGCATATTGTGCAACTTCAACGTTATGGCCGGAGGAATGAAGACTTGGACTACGTGGAGTTTTCCTGGTCGCTCAGGATTGGCTGACCAGATTTTTAGACAGGTGGCAGAAAAAGAGGAGAGAAGAGAAGATCAGTTGAGGAGAGAGGAAACACATGCTGGCATACAACTCCATCAAACTTGTGAGAGAACGAATGCTGGCAAGGATAGAGCAAGTGAGCTAATTGTTGGAAAGTGACCTGGGAAGGGGCACGGACAAAAAGGCGGAGACAGAGAGCAGCGTAGTGTTTGGAGGAATTGTGGCTAGAGTGGTTCGAGGCCAGATTCATATGTGAGAACATAATGCACTGTAGCCATGAGCTCAGTTTTTGCATGTATATTTTACTCATTGTGACCTGGCAGAAGGGATTCAAAATAGGCATGAGCAAAATATTGAACCGACCTGGTCATTCCTTTTGCTTCTCAAAATCGAGGCTGCACCAGTTTGAACCCAACAACTGCCTCTATTCTATTGGTTTGAACCGACAAGGTTCAACCCATAATGTACCTGCATCTCGTTTCACCGGTTCAGTTCAACCTGAATCATTGTTTGAAACCATCCAGTAGAACCCCCTGAGGTTTGACGAGAATCAAAATTGCACGGAAGTATTTCACTTTGACATACACATGAGGAACGGGTCGACCTGACCAGAACCCGACTCGATCTGACCCAATCGATCGGATCGAATATGTCCGGGTCAAATGCGTGATGTATGGTATTGTCTTTTGAAGACAAAGAAGGAGGAGTGGAGTGGATGCATGAAAGGGGAGAGAAGAAATTAGTGGATGCTCACAGAAATGACAGAATCGTCATGGATCCAATTTCAGCAGGAATTGATCCAGTGAGCTGATTGCCATGGAGATACCCGAATAGAGCAACGGGGAGGCAAGAGAGGCAGAGGAAGAAGGCAGCAGGGGAAGGGGAAACAACATGGTGGTCACAATTGTCACCGCATATGCACCTAATGCATATGCGATAACAATAGGATGATGGTCTAGGCAGGGCTCTCGGTTGCAACCGTACACAGAATAGATAGTTATAATAATATAAGATAGGAAGGAGCTGTAGGTATAGAATGTAGCAAAGCAGCTGTTAGGGAGGGGTGTAGAAAAGGGGGGAAATGGGTTAAGAGCGGTTGTGTTATGAGGGAAAAGACACCGAAGGGCGAAATGTGAAACCAGGCAGTCCCAACCCCGAGCCGCACATGTGGAAATGTGGAGCCTGGGGTTGGGTAAGGTCACTCACATCCAACCCCTCGATGCTTTCTCGTTGTTAGTCTCAGTTAGTAGTGAAAGTTGTCATCCTTGCTTCTAGCACACTGTGACACACACCAGGAGGGGACCTATGGGGTGAGGGAGGGATCCCGTTCATAACAACGAGAAAGACATAGAGCAGCGTAGAATGGACAAGTACGAACTGCGCTGGGGCAGAGTCTTTAGTCGACGAGACGAAGAGGGTCCGCGAGAGAATCGCTCGCAGGAACGCGGTCGGTCACTGGAGCGCCGATCACCAAGGAGGCCCGCTTTCCGCGCGGACCGAGTCCCCCTTGAGCCGATCCGACGAGACGGAGGTTTTGGGCACGGCGGAATGAACGAGGGCAGGCTCGCCGCGGCAGCGGGCGGCGCGCCGTGGCGGCGGGATACGTTCCACCTGAGCGGCGGGGCGTTCCGTTCCCCGGAGGAGGGGAGGCGGCGGCGTGATGAGCGAGGTCGCTGGCGGGGACGAGAGGAGCTTGCGCGCGGACGAGATGAAGGCTCTGGCGGGATCCACGCCGGTGAGAGTTTGCAGGCCTGAGCGATGCAGGAGAACGAAGCCGCGAATGAGGAGGAAGAGCACGAGCCCGTCCCCGAGCAGGCAGGGGAGAACCCGGACGTGCTGGACGGAGCCGAAGAGGGAGAATCCGAGCCGACCCATGAGACTGCCGACTCGTATGAGGAGGCGGAGGAGGAAGAGGAGGAGGCTAGGCGGGAGTCACGGTGGGACGACCCCGACCGCCAAGAAGGACGCCGCGTAAGCGATGCACAGCAGCAGGAGCAGCCGAGCCAGGCGGACGACATGCGCGAACTGCAGGTGCGGGGATCTCGCGGGGGAGAAGAGGCCGAGCGCTCACGGACGTCAGACGGGCAGCGCCGCCGAGCAGAGCAGCGCGGCGTACGGAAGGAGGGGAAAGGGCGCAGGATCGACTGGCAGACGACGTGCGGAGGAAGGCGGCGCGAGGAATCCCGCTCGCCGGAGCCGCACGAACAGCAGCGGGGAGAGTTGCGCTCTCCGCGCCAGCACAGACGGTGGGACAAGCAGCCCAGCGAGGAGTCTCGCTCGCCCGTTCGAGGCCGCGGGCGTGAAGGAAGGCTGGGCGAAGCAAGGTTCTCACCGGACGGCCATCGGTGGCACGGAAGGGGCGGAGAGGGATGGTCGCCATCTCCGGCGAGGCGCCAAGCATACGGGACGCGGGGAGAAGGAGGAGAGAGGAGCCGACGCTCGCCGGCAAGGCGTCGGGAGCGGACAGAGAGGGACGGCGGGCTTTGGAAGCAGCAAGACATGGGGCGCAGGAGTCACCAAGAGAGCAGGAGCAGGAGTGGGGGCCTGGCGTACGGGGCGGAGAGGGCCCGCGAAGCAAGGGAGGGCATGGACAGGGCTAATCGGGGAGGGCCATACGGGAGATCGGCAGGAAGGGTGAGTGACGCGTGGGGAGAGGGACGGGGAGGCCCGGCCGCGGCACCAAGGGTAGCGGTACCGGCCAGGTTCTCAAGCGATCAGCGGTCGGGGCCTTCACTCAAGAACTACCTGATGCAGATCGGTAACGTGAGGTATCGCTGTGACAGGAGTGGCATAGACCCTGTGGACTTCTTCCTGAGCCTGCCTAACACGCTGGAGGGGGAAGCAGAGACATTGTACCGCATGAGGATGGAGGAGTTGCTGTGGAGGGCAGGGAGATACGGAGAGGACCCCACTGAGGCCTTCCTAGAGCGACTGCAAAGGCAGTTTCCTGGGCACACGGCTGAAAAGATCAAGGAGTTCCAAGAGTTCATGATGGGGAGGGAGGAGTCACTGCTGACGTATTACAATCGACTGATCAACCTGGCTGAGGACGTGAGGTGCTCGGACGGCAGCCTTCTTATCAGCAAGTTCCTGGGGGGTGTGGACGAGGCCTTGGGGGGAGGGCTGAGGATGAGAGTGTATGAGTTGGGCGCGGAGGCAAGCCTGGAGGAGGTGTTTGACTTGGCAGAAAGGGTGGAGCTTGCACAGAGGAGATATGAGGCCTATCTGCCCAGGCCAGCAGATAGAAGCCGTCGGCCAACGTGGGCAGCGGCAATGATACCGGAAGGGGGGGAGAGAGTAGAGGCGCGGGGGGAGGCAGGAATTGACACCAGAACCTGTCACAGGTGTGGGCAGCCAGGGCATCTGCGCAGAGACTGCAAGAACTGTGACGGCTGTGGGAAGCCAGGGCACAGGAAGCAGGAATGCCCAGATGCAGCCAGGTGTGAGATATGCAAGAGACGAGGATATGAGGTGAAGGACTGATATCAGAGGGAGCGAGGGCCCATGAGGCATCCAGAGGAGCTGCAGCGGCAAATCAGCAGGCTGCAGGCACAGCTGAGGGCAACTGGGCTGAGAGGGGGAGCCGAGGCAGGGATGTATGCCAGAGACGAGGAGGGGGAGGAGGTGGAGCAAGATGTGCAATGTGCACTCATGGCATGGCGAGGAAGGGAAGAGATGGGGCTGAGGAGCGGAGGGAAGGATGGCAGGCGTGAGCAGGGAAGGAAGGAACAAGCAAAGGGAGAGAAGCCAGCCGAGCCAGCCCTGGAGCGAGCCCCAGCCCGCCATCCCCAAGAGTGGCTGGCGTGCCAGACCTCAGTGCTGATGCTGGAAAGGGGAGCAATGGAAGTAGAGGGAGAGAAGGTGAAGACTGCAATCATAGACACAGGGGCACAGAGCGTGATGCTGGGCAAGGGGATGGCGGAGAGGCTGGGGTTGCTGGCGCCAGAGAGGCATGTGGCCAAGGGGATGCTGGTGATGACGGCGGAAGGAGGGGAACCGAAGTGGATGCCATGCACCCGAACACCCATAGAAGTGACGCTGCTGCCGGGGGGGGAACATGAGACCAAGATCCGCATGAAGTGTGGGATTTCAGAGTCGGAGGACTTTGATGTGTTGGTGGGCACCGAGCTGGTGTTCGCGGTGGGGATGACTATATGTATTTGGACGGAGAGGGTTGAGTCCAGGACGCGGTACTGGAAGAAGGAGGGGCCCTTGGGAGAGCTGCCAGTGCGGTTTGTGAAGGTAGAGCCCAAGAGAGCATACCAGGCCGTGGGGGAGCTGCAGCCTGGGGAGCGGCAGGCCGAGGAGCAGGGAGGGATGGTAGGATTGAAAGTGGGACCCAGAATGAAGTGGATGGACGAGCCAAGGCGGCGGAGTGACTGGCAGCAGCCCATACGCCTGGTGGAGCTGTTTGGAGGGATAGGGGCAGGCCTGGCCGCGGTGGTGAGGAGTGGAATAGCCGTGAGGAAGTGGACATATGTGGAGAAGGAGCCAGGGGTGAGGAGGATGGCGGAGCATCACGCATGGAAGCTGCAAGCGGAATTCCCAGAATTACTGAGTGGGGGGGGTGATTCGAGAAGCCATGGGTGGAGCCACCCATGATGTGTAGGAGATAGGCGAGACAGAGGTGGCGAGCTGGGGGCAGGTGGATCTGCTGGTGGCGGGATGGGAATGCCAAGGTGTGTCTTGTGCAGGCAAAGGGAAGGGAGGAGAAGACCCCAGGACAAGCTTGATGGGGGACTTGTTCCGCATCCTGGAGTGGCTGCAGGAGAGGCAGGGCAGGGTGGCGTACCTGCTGGAGAACCTGGACCTGGAAGGTGACAGCAGAGAGCCAATCCGACTGGTGAGGGAAACAATCAGGGGGCAGCTGGTGGAAGGGGTGAGCTGTGATGCGGCCAGAATGGGGTCCTATGCGCACCGGCTCAGAATGTACTGGCAGAACGTGGTCCCTGCCGTGAAGCTGCAAGCCGAGATGGACAGGGTGAAGCGAGCAGCAGGGAGGAAGGTGCAGGACACCCTGGCACCAGGGCGGACCCCAGCGCCAGTGAGTCGCAAGAGCTACTGCAGGCACTATCCGTGCAACCAAGTAGGGCAGGAGAGGCGAGCCCTGCCCACTCTGGTGGCGTATGTGGGAGCGGCTGGGTACAAGTGGGAAGCAGGGAAGCCCGGGCCGGGAATGGTGTATGATCACAGGAGACGGAGGTGGGAGTAGCCGACGGCACTCGAACGGGAGCTGGCTATGGGGTATGGAGAAGATGCAACGGCAGCACCTGGGGCGAGTGAGGCGGACAGGAGGAGGGCTCTGGGGAATGCAATGGATGGCCACGTGCTGAGGTGGCTGATCCAGCGGATGTGGCGAGAGACGGTCGTGAGCTGGGGGCATGAGGAAGGGAAGGGAGAAATGGAGGTGGTGCCTCGGGGAGCATGGAGCTGCCAGAAGAAGGAGGAGGAGAGATGGGTGGTGGGGGAAGCGATGAGCACAGAGGGGAAGGAAGCCATGCAGGAGCTGCTGGCCAGGCACAGGAAGTGCTTTGCCTTCACCATGCAGGAACTGGGGAGGTGCAAGGTGAAGGAGATGGAGCTGAAGCTGAGCAGCACAGAACCAGTGTTTCACTGTAGGAGGAAAATGCCACATGGGGACGAGGAAATCTGTAAGGAGAAGATCAAGGAGCTGCTGGAAGTGGGACTGATCAGGAGGTCTGAATCTGAGTATGCCACACCAACGGTGGTGGCAGCCAGGCGGGACCTGATAGGGGAGGTGCTGAGCAGGAGGATGTGTGGGGACTATAGGGCACTCAACAAGATCACCATAGCAGACAGGTACCCGATGCCAATGGCGGAAGACATCTTTGACAAGCTAGCAGAGGGGGTGTTCTTCACTACATTAGACCCGCGGCAAGGGTTTAATCAGATCAAGAGCCGAGAGGAGGACATCAAGAAGACGGCCTTTCATGGGCCGGACAGGCTGTATGAATGGTTGTACATGCCATTGGATTAAGGAACGCCTCAGCCGTGTTCCAGAGGGTCATGGACAGCGTGCTGCGGGGAGTGGAGTGTGCGGCCTGCTACATTGATGATGTGGTGATATTCAGCACGACCGAGCAGCAGCGCCTGCAGGATGTGGAGAGGACCCTGGCAGCGATAGAAGCGGCAGGACTCACTTGTCACCCGAAGAAGTGCAGATGGGGGGAAGAGACAGTGCAATATCTGGGGTACGAGGTGAAAGGGGGGCAGATAGGGATACAACAGGCCAAGGTGGAAGTCCTGGATAGGCTGAGGGAGCCCAAGGACAAGTCAGGACTGAGAGCAGTGCTGGGCTTCCTGAGCTACTACAGGCGGTTTGTGCCTAACTTCAGCAAGAGAGCGGCGGTGCTGAATGGGCTGCTGCGGGAAGACAAGGCGTGAGAGTGGGGGGAAGCACAGAAGGGAGCATTGCAGGACTTAATGACAGTAGTGAAGAGCGCAACGGTTCTCAAGCTGCCCGCCGCCAATCACCCGTTCAGGCTCTACACCGACTGGAGCAGCCAAGGGATGGGAGGGATACTCTGCCAGGAGGTGGAGGGAGAGGAGAAGGTGGTGGCATACACGAGCAGGAGCTGCAACTCGGCGGAGGCACAGTACAGCTCTTACATAGGGGAAGGGTTGGCGACCGTGTGGGCTGTAGGGCATTTCAGGGTGTACCTGCAGGGGAGGGAGTTCACCTTGGTGACGGATCACCAGCCCCTGACTTGGCGGGGTTGACGGGCAGGAATGCACGGTGGGCAATGAAGCTGCAGGAGTATGACCTCAAGATCAAGCACAGGCCAGGGAAGACATTGCAGCATGTGGATGGTCTCTCTCGGAACCCCCCACCGCCAGAGCCCACGGTGACCTTAACACTGCTGGCAAGACTAGTGGAGCTGAATGGGGCCAAGGGGGAGAAGGGGCCAGCAGATATCTGGGAGGATGGACTAGCTATGCAGTGGGTGAAGGGAGAGACAGGAGAGGACGAGGAGCTGACGGCGCGCGTAAGGGCAAGGGGGCAGCACTACAGATGGTACCAGCAGCAGTTACAGGTGCAGACGGAGGATAGGTGGAAGCTGGTGCCGGCACCAAGCGAGAGGGAAGCGGTGATCAAAGAGGTGCATACAAAACTGGGACACTTTGGGCACGAGAGGACGATGCAGCTGTTGAAGACAGGGTGGTGGTGGGAAGGGATGCGGAAGCAAGTAAAGGGGTGGGTGGAGGGCTGTGAGGCATGCCAAAGGAGCAGGGCAAACCTCACCCAAGCCAAGGCTGAGTTGCAGTCCCTGCCCATCCGAGGCCTACGTTTCATATGGTCCTTGGATCTGGCGGGGGAGCTGCCGCTGAGCCGAGGGGGAAAACAGTACATCGTGCTCATGGTAGAACACGTGAGCAAGTGGCTAGAGGTGAGAGCCATCCCAAGCAAGAGCTCAAGGCATGTGGCGGCAGCGTTCAAGGAGCAGGTGATATGCAGATTCGGGGCATGTGCGGAGGTCCTCACGGACCAGGGAACCGAGTTCCAAGGGGGGTTCAAGAAGCTGCTGGAGGAGACAGGGATCACCCACAGGCACACTTCTAGGTACCACCCACAGAGTGATGGGCTGACAGAGCGCCTGGTGCAGACCTTGAAGCGGGGACTGCGAGCGTATGGGGAGAAGAGGAAGCAGGACAAGGATGAGGAGCTGCATTGGATTGCAGCAGGGTACAGGTTTGGGAAACAGGCGGCCTTGAGGGATCACTCTCCATATAGTCTCCTATATGGGTGTGAGCCACTGCTGCCGGTGGGAGCAACCCGGGTGCTCACAGACACGGTGACGGCAGG